TTCTTGCATGAGGCTAAGCATTGCCTCTCTAATTGCATGAGGCTAAGCACTGCCTTTCCTGCATGAGACTAAGCGTTGTCTCTTCTTCTTGCATGAGGATAAGCATTGCCTCCCTAATTCTATGAGACTAAGCATTGTCTCCCCTAATCGCATGAGACTAAACACTATCTCCATGAGACTAAGCATTGTCTCCCCTAATCGCATGAGACTAAACACTATCTCCATGAGACTAAGCATTGTCTCCTCTTCTTGCATAAGGCTAAGCACTGCCTTTCTTGCATAAGGTTAAGCATTGCCTCCCTAATTGCATGAGGCTAAACATTGCTTCCCTAATTGCATAAGGCTAAGCACTGCTTTTCTTCGCATCGAGACTGAACATTGCCTCCCTAATTGCATAAGGCTAAGCACTACCTTTTCCTCCCATAAGATTAAATACTATCTCCATTACGCTATCTAAGACCTAGCACTATCCTCTACTCACCTAGGGCTAAGCACTGCCCTCATCTTATACAAGACTAAGCCTTTTCTTGTCTCATTTCGCATATGACCAAGCATCATATCTTTACATTTTATGGGCTGAAACATCGCCAGTTTGTCCAAAGGCGCCATAGTCCGAAGGCATCATCCTCATAGCCGGGAGACACCATTCCATGGACTAAGGATCTCTCAAAAGTGCACATCATTATTCAAAGGCGTGATAGTCCATAGGCACCATCCTCATGGCCCGAGGATATCATTTTATGGCCTGCAAATCCCTTTATTACACGATTCATGGCCCAGGACGTCATGGTCTAAGGACATCATCCTCACCGTCCAAAGACAACCTTCATGGTCCAAAGGGAATTTGCATCACGTTTAAATTCTCACAATAACCCGTATATATTCGCATGCGACATGTTTTAAGTTTTGCAGGTAATCCAGGAGGTAACTGTTCTCCAAACGGGAGCAATCTTCGCTCCGATTTTCGTTCACAACGTTCACATCCTGCAATTATTTCAAACATAATCGACCACCATCAATTCCCGCCTTTCACTCTATGACCGTTCAGATATTTGTTCAGTGATATATCCGCAACATTTCAAATTCACATTCATGATTTCGCATAAATTCATCCGATACTGTCCTGTCCAAAAGAACCCTTTCTAAAAACATACGATCATTCTTATAACAACTCCCTCGGTTTCGTTCGCCGTAGGATCCAGAACTACACACGGCCTGATTTTCGTAACACCAGGGATATGTAGGCAACTTAGGAACCAGGGTTCGGACCCCATTTTTTCAAATCATATCATCCCTCATTCAATTCGGCCAAAATTGGTCATCATTTTCTTTACCCGACAACTCTTTCATCATTCTCGGGTAAAGAGGGCAGCTGTTGATACCCAATTTTGCCCTCATAGTTTTTAAAATAATATATATACTTTTAAAATATTTTTTTTTCATTATTATTTAGCTTACAAATCTATACAAGCACTTTTTATAATTTTTCATAGTTTTTAGAGCTTTAAAATTAGTTTTCTTGCATTTAAATTACATATATATTTAGTAATTATCCCTTTGAATTATTTGTGATGACTTAGTCATCCAAAATTACTATTTTGTATCCTCATATATGTCTCATAATAGTTTCACTTTATTTTTTTTAATATAATTACATTAGCATTTTAAAGCTATTTGCATAATCTTGCAATAATAGCCTATATTCATATACAAATGCTCCTTATTTATATTATTGACGTCAAAATAGCATTTTTATATTTTTATAATTCTAAATTATTATTTTAAATCATTTTAGTACATAAAATATTTTTATTCATTTACTAATTATTTTTATAAATTATTTTGATAAATTATGTGTGTTTAAACGGCTGGCCCAATTTTTAAACCAATTTTCGGGTTAAAAAATAGCCCAACACCTTAGCCTAGTAACCCCAACCCAAAGTCAAACGACCCCTTTACAAGACCCGGTCGGTACCCATTTTAATTAACCCGCCACGTTCATTTTAAATTTGAGTCGTTGATCTTTCAAGATCAACGTACCTCATTTATTCCCCTCATTTTAATTACCCACCCCAACCTTAATCCTCTCAACACTCTCTCAATAGAATGACAAATAATACATATAATATTAACTTAATATCAAAGGAAGCTTTAATCAACATCAAACCTCAATTTAGGATCAAGACACTGTTCAAATTAATTTTCATATCTCACATTGGGAGATTTTTAGTATCAATATGCCATTATTCACAATACCATTATTCCCCATACCAATACCACCGTACTCTCAGCACGGAGTCCGATCACGACCCGATCAGCTAGGCTATCTCATTAGAGACATCAATAACAATTACTCTCAATATCAATACCATCGTCTTTAACACGGAGTCCGATCACGACCCGATCGACTAGGCTATCCATTAGGGACATCAACCACAATTACCATTTCAATTATAATTTTCAGCACAATCACCACCATGTGTGCGACATGGTGTCCGATCACGACCCGACCGGCTAGGCTGCCTTATTTGAGACATTAACCTTTTTATATCAATCATCGCATTTCATATTACTTTCACATCTTTTCATTTCATTGGCACTAATGGCCATAATTATAAGATCATTCTTGGCACGTTGGCCATATTCAGTATTTCATACTCACCTTATCAATTTCAAATATCATTATCATCATCAACAACAAATACAATTCAAATCAAGGTGTGTAGTACACATGCGAGCAATTTAGAGTCTAAGGCACATAGAGATATTTCACAAAATTTGGCATAATAGCCATCATTTGAACTTGACTTAAAGTCGAAACATTATTAATGCATAGCCCATATTGGACATAATCATTAAAACTAGATGGATGATGATGATTTGGACTGTGATCTGGTCACAGTTGTATGGCGTTTAGCCTGATTTTTTGTTCTTCCTCCTTTTTCCCTCTTGTGGCTTTTCCTCCCCTAGCCGATTGAAGTCCTCTACGTGATAAATTCATATTCTCAGTAATCTCTCCAAAAATCACTGCCACCTCAGGATCTGCTGGTACGGGGTTGAAAACTTATAGTAGTTGCTCTACTTCTCCATCACTTGAGGTAGAGTTTTCCTTCACACTTTCATAATCTTCTTCACTTGTGTCTTCCTCTTCCTCTTCTTCAGTGTCTATGCCTTCATCAGTTGACATTTCTTCCCCTGCCACCTCCTCCTTCTGCTCTTTTTGAACAGTTGAATGTGCATCTCTTTTTCTGGTGGTTGGTTGTTTTAGCTGGTTCTTTGTTGTGGTTATTGGTTTTATATGGCTAAAGTTGGGTGGTTGGCCTTTATTTTGATCTGATTCAGGTTTTTTTGGCTGGTTATGTTTTGTTTTTTTTGTTTTTGGTTATCTATGTTATGGTTGATTGTGTTGGTCTTGGTATTTTGGACTTGTGTTTGGTCTTTGTTGTGTCTACATGAGGGGCTAGTTTGAATTTTGGTCACACTCTGAAGTTTGAGCTACAAAAACAGATTCAACAGGCTCCTCGTTAGCTACTACTTGATCCTCCCAGCGAACTGTTTTATTCACCTTCTTGTTCCTTCTTCTTTTAGCCTTAGCTTTTGGTTCTACATTTTGTTCTTTGTCTCCTTCCTTTTGCTCTACTTCTTTTTCATTATCTGATGCACCCTTCCTGTCCATTTTTTGCTTATTATTTGCATTTGCCTCCCTTTGAACTTGTTGAGTGCTACCCCGACCCTTTCCTGACCCCTCATCTAGATCTTTCATCCTGTTCTGGTTTGTTGAATCTAGTTCTCTGATAACAACACCTTGCCCCTTCTAAGAAGTCTGTTTGTTTTTCTTTCCAGTAACCTCCTTAAACTCATCATCATTTGTTTCCTGAATATCCTTTATGCTTTTCTGCTCTTTCTTAGAAGCTTTAGACATTAGATATGTAGCTTTGTTTCTACATTCTACTTCTTCATGCCCCTGTTTTCGACAATATTGACAGTAGCTAGGGGCTGAACACATAAAGCAGAGTTCTTTCTTCACAAAGGATTTGACTCTCCCCCTGGTAGCCAAAAGCTTTTTGAAGAATGACATTAATGGGTGGCCAAGCTTTAGGATCAAAGCATAGACAAGACATTTCTCATTTGATTATGGATAATTGTGTTATATTCATAGTTTTTTGGGTACATTTTCATAGAGTACAAAATGTAAAGGAGCTGTACTCCTCAACATTACCTTTTTTGACGCATGTAAGTAGTAATCCATACCATCAGGCATTGGAAGCTAAGGTTTACGTCCTCTTTTATTATATATATATATATACAGGTAGGGGTCCAACCTAACCCCTCACCGACAAGATGACTTTTTATAATAATTTTTTTTAATGCAAAATACTCATTGAGCTTAAAATAATTACCCTTTCTCACCTATTTGAAAACTATTTATAATATATACCTACTCAAATAAAACTAATTATCCATTTGACTTAGCTTAGCTTGATTTGACCTGACATGGCTTGAATTGTCTGTTTGCTTTAGTAGCTTAATTTGACTTCATTTGGTTGACTTTGACTGAGTATTAAAAAAAAATGGGTAGGGGACAAATCACATGGGCAGAGGCGGGTAAATAATTTCCCTGCATGGGTATTTGCCAAAGATCCCCATAAGTTGAAACCGTTCAAGTTACACCGAACTTATGATAACTTTTTCTCACTTGCCAATAAATAAAACTTAAATTCTACTGACAGAAACTGCTCTGTTCTAACAATCTTGCTTGATGTTAAAAACATGTTTAAGTCATATCAGCTGCATTGTAGGCGGTTTTTGTGATAAATAAAACTTGAATACACGCAACATAATTTGCTTGTTAACTTTCTTTTCCAAGAGTTCCACGACACCATTTAGTAACTAATAAGATGGTCTTTTAAGTAGCTCATGTAGCTGCAAAAAACCAAAGAAACAGCGAAGTATAGCAGGCAATAACATGGAACAGAAACAACATGAAAATCCACAGCGAATGACATGGCGAAGATCTGAAATAAAGACATTGGTTCTATGTAAAATCACAGTATTTGACTACTGTAAAAGAGTATTTGCAGCTTCCAAGCTACACCGTGAAGTCTGCGATGCAACACTTAATTTACTAATGTTTGATCGCATAAATGTCAACAGCACAGTATTCACCAATGCGCTTTATGTCTAAAAACTAAAATATAGGTATATCATGTATAATGATGCAACTTTAGTCAATATCAAGATAACCTACCAAGAATTTCACAAGTAAAAACTAGCTTGAGCCCGGTTTGATTAAGCTTCCTATATTTTTGAAGCCTTAAGTGGCACGAATTAAGGTCCCAATTTTGAAGCTCATGGAAAGAATAAGGATCCAAGAGAGCAGATAATAGAACCAGCACCAGGATGCCGTCGAAATTGTCTTCCCAGGAAGAATACTAATTACTGATTCCAAGCTAGCGGAGCTATCAGCATGCTGTGACAAGCCAAAAGATAGGAGAATGTTGTAATTCCCATGCTTGCCCACCAACCCATCTGTTCCATTCCCACTCATAGTTATGTTCCTTATTTGAATATAACCAGCCGTGACATGGATTGAACTGGATGCTTCTGAGGAAGAATTCATACGGAAAGCTGCATCTTTTGAAGGGAACTCTGAAGCAAATGCAGGAGGAGCAGGAATACCCCCCAACATGCAGCTTGCCTGCTTCATAAATGGATACTTATAATCTGCAATATCGAAAATAAGTAAAAAATGTTATCTTGAGAAAAGAATTGTGGTCGTTAACTGAAATTCGCATTAAGCAAATCTTCAAAGGCCAAAGAGTAACATATTCTAAAGTAATTATCATTACTAAGGTCCAAATAGAACCCTTATCACTACCTGATCCAAATTTAGATGGTTCCAGTTTCGAGGATGATGCAACATTGGTCTTCTGATCGGTAGGCTCTTCACTGGGTGCAATAGGTTGGTCAGCTACCTCGCCAATATTCTGTCATGAAAGTACTGAGCTAAGCTTCAAGAAGACCAGAACAAGACAATTACATGAAGTGGAGTTAGTAAGTAATGTTACCTTGTCAGCCAGAGATGCTAAGTCAGAAACATGATCATCACCTCCAATCATCATTGGTGGATTGAAACCCATATTCTGGAAGTCATCGTCTGCATCAAAGAATGTAAGGTACTCCTCAAGCATGTCAAAACTTGACGTATCAATGGGTCTTGATAGATCACTAGCTTCAAGGAATGCCCCATCATTGAATTGAAGGGTATCAGTTGCAGTTTCAATTGGTTCATTAAACAAGTAATCCACATCTTCAGAGTTCACATTCTTGCTTGGTTCACTCATGAATTCATGCTTGACTGGATTTGCACTCGCATTCTCTTCAATTGCAGGATCAAATGATTCCTGCTCGTCTGGTGGCTGAAGCCATTTTTCTGTATCTTCAAAGGAGTAACTTGTTCCCCCACTGTTGCTAGCATTTTCCTCGCAATAGCGGTTGAAAGGAGGTGGAGCACCATCCACAGGTGTGTCAGTCCCAAGAATCTGGTGCAACAGAAACATGAACCAAAATGAGAAGATACATATAACCTCTATCTAACATAGATAGCAAGTTTATCCAAATATAATTGTGTGAAACAGGAAACGAGCTGCTATCCTTGTTTTCTTTTATTTGAATGTACACGACATGATGACTCAAGATATAGCATCCAAAAGCTTCATCAACTCAGAGTTCTAACCCAACTTCATACAAAACTTTTCAAGTAGATATCAGAAAAAAGATCCTACTAACAGGCTCAAGAGGCGGCAAGGCTAAAGATATTCAGACTAATCACAGAAAGTGTATGCCATTCTTGCAACTTCACTGAACCTACAACCCATTTTACATGCACTAACAATTTAAGAACTACAACACTGAAGGCCCATCCAAAAAAAGAAAGAAAGAGAAACACTAGCTACTTCAGTTGAAACTCATCCCTATCATCTCTCCACCTTAGTTGCCACTACTTCGCTTCAAATGAAAGAAGTGCACAAAAGAAGCGAAAGCACTTGTGTAGCTTTTGGAAAACCCTCTGCTCTTAAAAGAGCATATAACACAACCTACAACGAGCTAATAAGATAACTGCACAATAGTACTAAGGAAAATTACTTAGGTAGTAGCATTTCCAATCTCCTACTGACCAGTAATATCTTTGCATACAGGAATTGATTGCTCATAGGCCATAGCTTTAAAATATGTGAAATCAGGAAATTCACAGAAGTAGGCTCACCAAGCACATAAACAGAAAATGCACTCAAATTCATTTCACTCCCAAAGTCAAACTCATCAATAGAAAAGGCAGAAAGAAAGTTGAATTGGCATTGATAAATTCCCCGTCTAATCATGTTTTGGTGCAAGACACCATAAGACAGTAATATAAGGTTGATTATCACGTTAATTGATAATAAGAGATCTGCAATTGTTTCTCAGATTAGCATACTATACAGCTAGTATTTAAGTTGAGAGGGGTAGAGGGGCGGCTCCAGTATCCAAGTTTCGAGGAAAGTTAACATTTCTTGCATGTTAGACTTGAATGCAAACATGATTTGTCGGGCTTCGTATGTGGGTGACAGAGNGGGGGGGGGGGGGGGGGGAGCAAATCTGAACCATTTTTTCAGATGACCAAGGAACTACCGAAAAGAAAGAGAAACGAAAAATATACATCATAAATGGATATACCTGCTCAAGGTCATGTCCATCTAAATAGATATCATCTCCAAATTCAACTTCGTCAGNCAGCTCGCAAAAATCAGGAAGCAAGGGGTGGGGGTTTGATGGAGGGAGAATATTATCTCCTTCTAGCTTCCTGATAGAAAACAGAGTTCACAATTTATTTTCAATCTCCCTCCATTTCCCTGCAGCACCAGGTTTAGGAGAGGGGTTGAGAGACACAGGAAGCATTGCATTGAACAAGCACAACCACAGGTTCATATGATCTCACCTGAGCAATTCCAGCTTTATCCAATTCCTCATCAATTAGTTTGTACTCATGCATAACCCAATTAGTCCTCTGACCTTTTGGAGCCCGACCACTATGATAAACTAGGGTCTTCTTCATCCCGACAACTTTAGACTTATGATGGACAGCTCTGTCCTTTCCAGTTGTCTTCCAGTAGCCTCGTTCCGTCGCCCGATTGGTCTTTGCTCCATTACCATGCTTCTTATCAAGCATGCTAAAAAAGTACCATTCCAGATCTCTTGTTTTCAGCCTCGACATACCTAAGACACCGATAACATTATGCTAAGCTTACTCTAGAGCTCGTGAATATATAAAGACAAATTCAGTAAAAGCATAATCAGATGTTTTAGTAAATAAATCCACAATGGTTTACAAGGTTGTGATTTATCACGGTGTACAATAAGATTGGAGGATAAAATGATCCGACATGCTATAAAAATAAAAAGAGAAAAAAGATAAGAATATACTCTAGATACTCAGCTAAAAAATTAATAGGTTAATTTTTAACAAAAAAGGGCAGCCCGGTGCACTAAGCTCCCGCTATGCGCGGGGTACGGGGAAGGGCCGGACCACAAGGGTCTATCGTATGCAGCCTTACCCTGCATTTCTGCAAGAGGCTGTTTCCACGGCTCGAACCCGTGACCTCCTAGTCACATGGTGACAACTTTACCTGTTAATTTTAACGGACAAACCTAAAATACTTAATGTAAATCTTAGTCCTTTGGCTCATAATCCACGTTCATACTATACATATTATACATAAATGATCAACGTAGATGCATGAAGGTAGGTGCTGCTGACAAAACATAGGCATAGACACGACTGAGCACTCTGAATAGAAATTTGAATCACGAGCCAATCTCCTAACTTTCAATTGAACATTAAAAATTCGAGTAGGTAGCGGAACAAGTCTCAAAATTTGGAAAACTAGATGAAGCCAAACCTATTTTGCTAGGAGGCAAATAGGACGAGTCAGAACTATTTTGGTGATCTTCTGAAGGAAGAGCTCCCACACCAGCTCAAAAATGCTTATCATGCGAACTAGCAGTTCTACGTTAGTTGAGACGTGAAGCTGAGTGAAGAACTATAGGCCTTCAAGCTATAAACAGAAAGTGTAAAGAGAGAAGAACTGCCAAAAATTCTGGAGATGAAATCTTGTTCATTTAAGTCGGAAATTTACCACTCAAGAAATCAGTCCTCCACCCAACTTAGTTGAATTTGCCTATATAATTCCTCTACATCCATTCCCTATTCGGTGTCTAGAGAATTTATTACTCCCTCTATCCCATTTTTTGTTGTACACTTTCTTCTTTAGTCTGTCCGGAAAAGAATGATCCAGTTATATATTTAGAAGTAATTTAACTTTAAACATTTCATTCTACCCTTATTGATAAGATTTTATAGCCACACAAATGTCTATGGCATGTTTTATACCACAGACTCTCAAAAATCTTTCTTTCTTTTCTAAACTCTGTGTCCAGTCAAAAGAATTGGGACTTATATGGCACACTTTTCTTTTTAGGATGTGTCAAGAGGAATGACACCTTTCTATATCTAGGAACAATTTAACTTTAAACTTCTCATTCAACCCATAGTGAGATGATTTATAGCTACACAAATATCTATGACATGATTTAAACCACATGTTTCATAAGTCTTTCTTTTTTTAAACTCTGCGCCCTGTCAAACAATGTCATATAACATGGCACGGAGGGAGTATATAAAGTCAGAGGCGGAGCTAGATCATTAGCTACGGGTTAGAGCAAACCCAATAACATTTGCTTATACGTCGCATTTGTATTAGAAAATCCATTAAATATGTATAAATATTTAATTATAAATCCAGTAATTAAGACAAGCTATGAATTCGGTGGGTTTCAAAACCCATATATACTTCAAACCCTGCCTCCGCCTCTGTGTAAAGTTCACATAATGGTCAAACGTACACGGCGAATAAATTCATTAGGTGTGATTTCATAGATCTGTCAATAATCCTAATTCACCAAAAACAAGTAAACACTAAGAATTTGCGGCAAAAATCCAGCAACTGAAAAAATGAAGGAAAAAAAGAAGGTTCTAGAATGAAGGGCTTTTTTTACCAGGAAGGTCCCATGGTTCAACTTTGTAGATATCGATCTCTGATATTGCATCAAATCTTAAGGGTTTCCCAATAATCTTTCGCCGGAGATAGTACCGCACCAATTCCTCATCCGTCGGGTGAAATCTGAACCCCGGCGCCAACAAATTCTTCGACCGCCTTGATTCCATCAACCGCCGATTAAAAAAAAAAGATCAAAATTTGTCAGTAACAAACTGTTCAGTTTATTATATAGTGGAGATGCGTCCAAATTTATTTAAGGTTTAAAGAGAGAGGAAATTGAAAAGAATTAAGAAGATGAAGAGATGGCATTGGTTGAGCTGTTGTAATTGGATATTAGAAAGGTTGGTAAAGTATAATTTCGANAACCGCCGATTAAAAAAAAAAAAAGATCAAAATTTGTCAGTAAAAAGATCAAAATTTGTCAGTAACAAACTGTTCAGTTTAATATATAGTCGAAATGCGTCCAAATTTATTTAAGGTTTAAAGTGAGAGAAAATTGAAAGAATTAAGAAGATGAAAAGATGGCATTGGTTGAGCTGTTGTAATTGGATATTAGAAAAGTTGGTAAAGTATAATTTCTATGACTTTATAGAATTGGTGCGGGTCACGCTACTGCGACGTATGATACTTACCGCTTTGACACGTTTTGATGGACTGCACCAATAAAATATCAATGACTTATTTTTTTTTTACTTTTCCATATCGACAAAATACAGTATATGTGAGAAAAATAAAAAGATAAAATTAGGTAATTCCTTCTTTTCACTTTGTGCGGTGACGTTCGATGGACATAAAATTAATTTTTTTTAAAATATTCTTAACATGTACGTCAAACATATGTAAAATACTTTAGGAGTGGTTTGGTAGGGCACATAAAAATACTTTAGGGGTTGTTTGGTATAGTATATAAGACTACTTTACATGTTAGGGGTCGTTTGGTAGAGTATTAGTTAATGTTGGAATTAGTCTTGATGTGATTAGTTGTGCTGAGATTATTTCTTATTTGGTTTGATGAATTAAAAGTTTTGAAAAGGCAGTTATATATATATATATATATTAAAATTATGGTATTACTAATGCCATAATTTGTTATGTATAACAAATAGTATTGAATAGAGTAAGTAATGTAATTATTAATAAAATATGCATTTTTTTCCTAACACATCCTACTAAACGACCCCTTAAATTTCAAATTCCACAACCACATGCTATGCAGTTTATTTCCTTCAATAAAAATATTAAGCCAATCCTAGGAAGTCAGGTTATTAAGGATAAGATGAAAATATTAAGATTAAATAATTTTCAAAAAATTATATATTATATTTTTTGAAACAAAATAAAAAGTGAAGTGTATTACTATATAAAATGAGAGTGAAGAAGTATATATCTTAAGACAACTCATTTAACTTAGAATTCACATTGTCTAGATTTTAGATTTACCTATGTAAAATACAATGAAACAATAACATCGAGAGTGACTTTGTGGTACTAAGCTATCATGAACAGCATGAAAATCTACTTAATTTGGATCAAAACAAAAGCAACACATAATGTCAAATGCTCGAATATAGTAAGTACTTTACTATGTTAGTTGGACCCTTCTTTTTCTTTTTGCTTCTTTTTTTTTTTCCAATTTAACTTCCAAAAATAGAACAAAGACAACTACGTGAAGACTTAATGATTTATTTAGGGTTTAAATGAAAATCAACTGTGCATATATTCGGTGTATATACGGCAAGAAACTCAATCACCCGAAAATTTTATGAGATAATTAGTCTGTCTATGCCAATGCTAGGTAGAATTACATGGTACATATGTTGGTGGGAATTAATAGATAAAAATATCAATGTTCTTTGAAACTGACACCGAACCGAATCTTATTTTTTAAATTTTTCTTTATATAATTAGGTTTTGATATAAATTTATAGCCTTACTGAATTATTATAGTAGGTTCTATGTATCCAATTTAAAATTGGAAAACGCTAATATTTGTGACCTTGGGCTTCAGGTGGATTCAGGAGGAAATGGGGATTAGTGCAAATATACCCGAATTTTGTGCCACCATCAAAGTTATACACGTAATGTACAAAAATTTGTAAGTTTGCTCACTTTAGGATCAACTTTCGACTAGCGGGTCTGAAGTTCAAAAATTCGCCTATGAAATTGCAAACTTTAGACATAAAAATGGATCTGAAATTAGCCTATTCAAAGCCTAACTTCATATAAAATTTCTGAAGTTTGCATATTATTTTTGTCTGAAGTTTTAGCTTGACAGAAACAAACTTCCTGACATTTTTATCTGAAGTTCAGTCAATATTATTTAGAAATAATTTGTTCTTACTTCAGACGTTTATGTATGAAGTTAAGCTTGTCAAAGCCTAACTTCAGAAGTTATCATAGGAGCAAAACAAAGAAAGGAAGATTATGATAAAAACAAAAACCTTATCACAAATTCAACAGATGTTTTCTTCTTCTTCCTCATTCTTTATATTATTGTGATATTTGAATCAAATATCAAGTCTACATTTTATCCAAAAACTCTCATGATGCTACAGGTTATCTTTTCATATTTATGTCTTTTGAACTTGGAAATTTCCGATTAGCACTCCGTTATCGTTCTAATATAACTATTTTTTTTTTGTTGCTAAAGAGTGTGTTGGGAGTTTCAAGCAAGATTTTGAGCCATAGACTGTGCCCTGATTAACTTTTATAAAAACCAATGCAACAGATATAAAAAACAAAAACTGCAGATTGCTAAATGGCACATTTGGTCAAGGTTACAGCAAAGACTACAGATATGTTACATAGGTTGCATAAACAGCTCAACCACTCTTTTACCATCTTCCTCTTCCTGAAGATAGTAAGAGATTACAGAATTGTGATATAAGGGTCTCAGCTGACAACTACAAACAAAAATATACTGAAAAAATGCTATCGCCTAACCCTCTCGGACGATTCTTCTCATGCCTTCGTTCTCTTTAGTCAAAAGATCAACACGCGATTGAAGAAGGTTGATCATGGCTTGGGCTCTCATCACTTCAATCTTCAGTGTCTCCCTCTCCATAGAGACATTTAGGATCCCATTCTCTAAATTACTAATAAACTTCAAGTAGCCCGGAGGCACGGATTTTTCAAGATTGGAGGAATCAAAAGTAGGGGGATTAGAGGGCTGGCCTTCCTTAGTTTCAAGAGACTCTAACAAGGGGAATCCTAAGAGAGTAGGGGAGCAATTTGTTTTCGTCATCATCGTAGTTGGTAGATCCTGGCTAGTAATAGTTGAATCTTCAGAACCATTTGCACGGCTAGAGCTTGGATCGTCATGCTTGGATCTCTTACTTTGGCTTAAAGAGAGAAGTTCAGCATCTTCTGAGCTCTCCCTCTTGCAAACAAATGGAAGACTTTGGGGTTCAATCAGGTTTTCAATATAGCGAGGAGCCTTGCGTAGAGCATCCTGTTGTCAAAAGTTAACAGTTAGCGGCGAGCAAAGTAAATCTCAAACTGGAAAAAGTTAAGCATGCCCCAGGGTTTATCGAATGAGAAATGCTCAAAACTATACGGGACATATAAACTTCAAGTTTATAAATGTACACATGCTAATGAATGTGACAACTAAAAGGAAGAGAAGGGCATGAAGTTTTGCAGCTAAATGCATAAACTTCTTTTTAATTGCAAAAGACAGTCAAGGTGAAATCCCAATAAAAACAAAGTAAAAATTGTGAGAGCACTAGAAAATGATCAGCTATATTTCTCAAGAATAATATGTTTCACATTCTAGTAGAGAATTCGAGTATTCAACAAGATTGAAATCCAGAGAATAATAATCAGCAGTGTCTTCAAGAGCTTTCACTCGTCACATAAAATCTTCACCATTTCAAGTTAGCTTGCCAGTTACTTCTGAGAATCAAGAACAGCACTATCACCAAGGAGTTTTTTCCCCTACTGATGCGTACTAAGACAGACCTATACAACTTGCTGAATTAAAGTCCACTTTGCCAAAATTTTCAATCTAGGGGTGGTTTTGAGAGCTTATTTCTGTAGCTTCACGATCAACATTACAATTTACAAGCAACATTGCACCTACAATTCCTAGAATCTCACCCGACAAGCTGATGTCCAAGATAGCTGGAGATCCACCTTTATAAAACACACTATAGTTAAGATTTGAACTTTGTGTCTTGGAGTAGTCATGGTTGTGGGGATGAAGCAGTTATTGACAAAGACGTAAATTGCTTGTTGTGATGTTCAAATTCAATTAAAAGGCTAAAGGAAGTAGCTTTTCAATTGGAATATAATGACATGTCAACGTGAACATGGGGTTTATAAGGAAGGTAGGTGGAACACGATGCTAAACCGTTAAGTGCTCTAGCAAACCACCACATTAACAGAAATCATTTTTCATTTTATTCAATTTTCCCAGAACAATTCCAATAAATAATACATAGATAGAGCAACATTGAGAGAAAGAAGAGCATCAACAAAACAGCAAAATGCTGCAATTTAGAGCATAAATCTACAAGTAACGACACAGACATTCATACTTTCCGGTCTTGTTACTTCCTTCTAGTTTGTTATTATATATGGTACTTAGCAACCACGTCCATTGTTTTTGATAATTGCTACTGGAAATTGTTGCTCCCTGATTGTTACTATTTGATGCTACTCTTTCTCCCCTTTTACCGGAAATTGTTGCTCCCTGATTGTTACTAACTGATGCTACATTTTCTCCTCTTTTTCCTTATCGTCTTTTGTCTCCCTCTTCTTTCTTTCTCCCCCCTCTTTCTTCTTCTTCTTCTTCTTCCCTTTTCTTCCTTTCCATCTTTTCTTGAGCCGATGGTCTATCGGAAACCGCCTCTCTATCTCTCCAGGTAGGGGTAAGGTCTGCGTACACACTACCCTTTCCAGACCCCACCCGTGGGATTATACTGGGTATGTTGTTGTTGTTGTTGTTGTTTGATTCCTTATCGACATTGATGGTAAAACCAAATTCTAAACCGTTATCTACAACTAAGTAACTCACAAATATAGCAAAAGTTTGCAAAACAAGGAGAAAGCAGAGCAAAGACAAAATAGATAAGAGTTTCCAATTAAGAAAAAAAGAGTAACGACAAAATAGCAAAGTTTGCAACTAAGAGCATTATATCTACACTGACAACATTGGCATTCATACTGTACTATTCTGCTTTGTTCTCTTGATTCCTTATCGACATTGATGGTAAAACAAGATTCTAAACCGTTATCTACAACTAACAAATATAGCAAAAAGTTTGCAATACAAGGAGAAAGAAGAGCAAATACAAAAATTAGAAAAGAGTTTCCAACTAAGAAAAGAAGAGTAACGACTAAATAACAAAGTACGCAATTAATAGCATTATATCTACACCGACAACATTGGCATTCATACTTTCTTGTTTTTGTTCTTCTGATCCTTATCAACAGCAACGGTAAAACAAGTGGCAATAGACATTCATTCATTTAAGTGGAAAGTTTCAGCAATCTAACAGGTCTGTACTGAAAAGGAAACAGTACCTGGTCAAGGTCATTGCCCGCAACTCGTGCTTCATCACCATTCGCCACATCATCCTCTGCCTCTCCTCCAGGAATCACGGCTATATCATCATCCCATTCCTCCTCAACGAATGGTGCATATCTGTCACCATTTGGCGGTCCTAAACCACTTTTTTGAAAGATTCTACAGAGCACAAAGGAATCCTATGTCCTCGCACACCAACAGAAAGAGATTCTTTTAAGATTCAAAACTCAATATGGAAAGTAGCTAAGTTCACAAAAAAAGCTAGTTCACACCTGCACGATCCCAGCCTTCTCCAATTCTTCGTCTGCAAGCCTGTACTCATGCATTACCCAATTTGTTCTCTGGCCATCAGGAGCTCGACCACTATGGAAAACAAGTGTTTTCTTCATTCCAATGGTCTGAGACTTATGGCGAACAAAACGATCTTTCCCAGTAGCTTTCCAGTAGCCTTGGCCAGTGGCTCGGTTAAGTCGAGAACCGTTACCATACTTCTTATCCACAGGGCTGAAAAAGTACCACTCTAGATCTCTGCTCTTCAGCGATGAATATTCTGCACCGTATATGACAAGGCCATTCATAAAAGTGGCTGCCAAATTCAGGGAAAAGGGGGAGGTGGATTCATAACACGACAAACTAATTACTAGCCAGTGACGTGGCTAAGTGTGTTAAAGGAGGTTCAAAATTGAATCCCTTCGTCCGAAAGTTACATAGTACAAATAGGGTAACAAAAAATTAAATGCATTCACTCAGTATGAAAATTTGTATGTTTTTGAATCCCCTCGTTAGAATTCCTGGCTACGCCACTATTACTAGCCCAAAGACATACAGAAGAATGACTAATACAACAGCCCAGCTAGGAGGCGATCTGAACCCCCTTCATCGGAAAATTAAGATCAATTTATTTTTTTATGTACATATATAGATATTGAATCCTTTGACACAACCAAAGAGTTAATTCCCTTAGTGGAAAATCCTGGCTCTGCTGACAAAAAGAGATGTTATTCATATAGAAGAGCAGCATTGCAGTTTTCAATAAACCTGGAAATGTCAGAAACACACTAATATTCCGAATGAAATAATTAAACCTGAAAACTCAATCAAACCAAACCAAAAATAAATAAATAAATATTAAAAAGAAGTCACGAAATTAAAACAGATAAAAAAGCGTTATAAACAAAGAAATCATAACATAAAAGAAAACCGGACACAAAATAACGACATAAATCAACAAAAAAGGAATTGAATTGAACCTGCGAGCTCCCAAGGTTCAGATTTGTAAACATCAATTTCAGTAACAGCCTGAAACCTGAATGGCTTCCCACATGCCTTTCGCCTCAGATAGTACCTCACTAATTCCTCGTCCGTCGGATGGAACCTGAACCCCGGCGCCAAAGACGTCGGCGCCGGTGCCGGAGCGGCCACCGTTACAGCCCCTGCCGCTGCCGCCACCACCAGTGACCCTTCTTGCTCCATTTCTTAGCCTCAAAATTAAAAAGAAAACAAAACTAGACACACCCAGAAAGCCAAGAATGTAAAAATGAGATTTTTTAAGAATACCCAATACAGAAACAAATAGATAGATATTAGAATTGAGAAGATTGGAAGTGAAGTAAAGTGAAAATGGGGGAAATTGAGATAGCCTGTGGGTGAAGGAAAGGGAAGAGAGTAGAGACTTGTTTAACACGGAAATCGAAAATCTAAGAAAGATAAGCCATTCATGGGGGACAAAAGTGACCTGTGGATATGTACTTAGGTGGCGTTACCTGTCAAAACTAAGGAACACTATTTTTTTTTGTTGAAAATGTAAACATTACTTTAGGGATGTTTTCATTTTTTTTTTAATGAATATATTGAATTTGTTGTTTTTTAGTCGTTACTAATATTAATTCGCACCAAGTAAATTTACTATGGCATATTTTTTAATTGACTATATGTAAATATTTTTCCTTTAAAGTAAGTTATTTTCTACAACTGGAAAATCTTCCAAAATATCATAGAAATTATGTTATATAATATTATATAAATTCAACGAATTTAGACATAATTTTAACGTATGTGTAAATATTTTTCCTTTTTGTAAAGAAATCTTAGTCCACATTACATTTAAAGTAAGTAATTTTTGTACAATAATTAATTGCAAAATTGTATTCGTTTGTTGTATATTGTTTACTTTCACCCATTTTCAAATTTGTCTTAATTTTCTTTAAATATCTCCTTGAGATAACTTGAATAAAATAAAAGGATTTGAAACAAAAAATAGGGGATTTTTACACAAATAGCTTGCCACATTCACTGTTTACTTTTTTTTAGTCATATACATAGATTTTACATTGATTATATACAACTATACACATATAATACATAAACTATGCATATATTATACCTCCACCGGCTATTTTTAGTGTAAATGGTTGGCAGTGGCAGAGACAGAATTTTCGCTAAGGGGGTTCAAAAAAGAGAAAAGTTAAAAAGGTTGTAGCTAGAGGAAATAGAACCAATGACCTTACAAAGGTTTTGAACCCCCTTGACCACTAAGCTATGCTTTTGGGCTATGTCAAGGGGTTTCAAAACATAATATATAGAGGTAAAAAATATATTTTGCCTTATATATACAGTGTATTTTTCGACGAAGGGGGTTCCCGTGAACACCCTTCCGTCCCCCCCTAAATCCGCCCCTGGTGGTTGGGTGGGCGACTAATTGGGTTAATTTTTCTTTTGAATATAGGGAGTAGATTATTTAAAAATTCCGAAAGAAGTAAGATGAATAATTAATACAAAGTGGAAAATATATTGTTCAATGGAAATTAACGTCATGATATCTTTGGTCATTGGAAAACAATTTTTCTCACATAAGCCAAACCCCATTACCTAAAGGAAAAAAACTTTTTAAAGCTAGATTTTTTGTATCCATCGTAACTGAAAATGACATTAATATGCAAGTTTTTCTTTACTTTTACGTCGTCTTTTTCCTTTATATTTCTTTACGTGGTGCATGGCTTGGATCACAAGTTGACCAAAATGCAAAAAACATTATATACAGGTTTATATTTTATATTTTTTGAGGATAAGAATAAAATAAATGCAAACTAATCTGAGTAGTTAAAGAAGTGAGTGTGATGAGGTATGAAATAAAGGGCACCAATGCGTATTCAAAGTAAAGAAGTACAAGCAAAGCAATCTCTATTGCCCGTTCCTTAAGAAACCTTTAATTCATGACTTTTTCTCTCTCTTTATTTTTGGCTCGCCACCCGTTAGAATATATATATATATATATATATATATAAAATCACATTATTTATAAGAATAACTATAAATAATTTTTTATAATTATTAATTACCTGATAAAAATGATAACTAGCTGACTATGACATGTTAAGCTTTTCTAAGGTTGTAAAATCTTTATACTTCAAATATATTTTCGATTTTTTCTATTTTTATAATAAATTAAAATTGATAACAAATACAATTTTCCAATAAACTTAAAATAATATTTTTTTGACGAAATAGAATGTTCTTTGTTCATGTTGGATTACTACGTGAAGAAAAGATATTAAAATAAGAGATGTAACAAGTAATCTAGCAATCTTATTATTTGATTCATTAGTTTGGCTTTATTTATTAATGTGTTTTTTTTTTTACCATATAGATATTTAATATTTCCTTGACCCCGAGAAAAGCCAAAAGATTATAACAATAGTTATTGGGCTAATAGCATGTTTGGCCAAGCAGCATGCCAAAAATATATTTTTTTTAAAAGTGCTTTTTCCCTCAATTTGAGGTGTTTGGCCAAATTTTTTTTTTTTAAAAAAAAAAAAATGCTTTTGGCTAGAAGCAGAATCAGTTTTGAAGAAGCAGAAAAATAGCTTCTCCCCAGAAGCAGAAGCAATTTTGACTTTTCTTCCTATCAAAAATATCTTTTACAAAATATTATATATACCAAAATAATCTTACTTATTTTAAATTATTAAGTAATATAAAATAACTTTTGGGATGAACTTTCATATTTATTGTATGATTTTTGATATATTTAAATTATCTTGAAAGAATAAAGTACTTTTTAATTTTATTTTTATATTTTACTTAAATAAAATAAAAAACTTAATTATTATCTTTAATAATAGAAATTTTTAATTATTTATCTACTTATATAACATTAACTATTAAGCAAATCTCTTCATGTCCTTATTTGTAATTTGACACATAAAAGTACTTTTTGAAAAGCTTGGCCAAACACAAATTATTGTTCAAAAGTGCTTTTCAAATTGATTAGCCAAACACAAACTGCTTTTCTCCAAATTTTTTTTTTGAAAATCACTTTTGAAAAAAAACACTTCTCAAAATAAGCTGACTTTTCCAGCTTGGCCAAACAGGCTATAAAACGGCCAATGATGCTCTTACACGCAGGGGCAGCTCAAGGCCTAAAACCAAAATTCATTCGAAGGCCTTAAATTTAAAAAATAAAAAATATCTTTTTCCAAAAAAAAAAAAATCTATTCTTCTAGCTTTGTTGAGATGCAAAATTTTTAATAATTCTATTTATTATCATTTTTTTCTAATAATTCTTTTCGAATAATAATATAGCCAACTCATTTAATTTTTCTTGAGAGTTATTGATCTTACGCAAGATTTTATCAATTTTAATTTTAAAAAACCTCTTTCTGCTGTGGCAACTACTATAGAAAATATTAACATTTTAAAAAAAGAAATATAAATATTTGAAAAAGAATTAAATCTTTTTAATTGATTGAATATGTCGCTTAGAGTATTATTTTCTACTTTAACTATTTTTAATTTAAAAAATAAGTCTAAACCATCAATATTAGAGTGACTATTATATTTTACGGAACATTCAAGATTAAGACATTATTTTTTTAAATTCACATCATCTATTGATCTAAAATTTTTACCGTTAAAACTTTTTGAACTTTTAAATTCTTGGAGAAAAAAAGTAAGAAAAAATTAAAGAGAAAGTATGTAATCTGCTAGGAGAAAAGAAAAGAGAAATTGTGACTTGGACAAAATAAGAAAGTGTAAAAATTTACAACTATTCATATATCCCATAATAATCATTCTAGTATTGATGATTTATTCACAAATATAACAAAATTATCTTTCCTTTTATATGAAAAAATACTTTTCTACTCAAAGTACTCAATATTGTTTTTAAAAAAATCTATAAATTTATTATTATAAAAAATGGGTGCCTTACTTGCTTCACCAGGGAGCCGACACTGCTTACACAGTGTGATATTGTGCACTTTGAATCAAGCTAATACAGTTTTTCTTAAAAGACCTCATACTATTAAGAGATCTCTATAGTTATATGTAAGCTCTCAATCTTTTCAGCTATCAATATGAGATTTTGTTCGCATACCCAATAATATTTTTATTGTAGAATAGCTGCCTAATTTTTAATATTTATTTTTTACTCAACAACTAAATATAAAAAAATTAAAAATAATTTTCATAAAATATGGAGTACGTTTCACAAAAGGTTTTTCTACTATTCCCTTCTTGCTCATGCAAACTTGTTTTTGAAAGTTTGCAGCCTAGTCCCCACCAAATGGAAGATATTTTTGTGTGTTCAAATTCTTAAAATCATAACCACACCGCCCAATTTGATTGGTCCAAATTTTGGTTGCCCTGTCTCTGAAGTAAAACATAAAATACTAATGCTTGCTATTTCTGAAATAAAATAAAAGTTGGATATATAGGGAGGATGGGGATGGTGGTACAAACTTCATGGTATATTCCAGAAGACAAAAGGATACTACAATTACTATTTTTGGAACAAGGGCCACACCTCTGCTCATGGCAGGTAATTATTTAGCTGTGTAACTCAGAATATTAACAAATGTTTGGCGAAACAGGAAAAATTAGCTTATTTTTTAGAAGTATTTTTTTAAAAAATATTTTTCGAAAAGGTATTTTTTTAAAAGTAATTTGTATTTGATAAATTAATTTAAAAATAATTTTGAGCAATAATTTATGTTTGGTCAAACTTTTTAAAAAGAGTTTTTAAGTATCAAATTACGAATAATGACATGAAGAGATGTACTTAATAGTTAATATTATATAAGTAAATAAATAATCATCAAAATTTATTATTAAAGACGATAATTTTTTTATTTAAGTAAAATATAAAAATAAATTTGAAAAGTACTTTATTCTTTCAAGATGATTTAAATATATCAAAAGATCACTCAACAAATATGAAAGTTTAACCCAAAAGTCATTATATATTTTGTGAAGGGTATATTTTGTAGGAAAAAAAATTCAAAATTGCTTTTGCTTTGGGGGAAAAACTACTTTTTTCTGCTTGTCCTCAAAAGTACTCCCCTCCCCTCTCCAAAAAACAAAGTTTGGCCAAATACCTTAAGTTAAGAAAATAGCATTTTTTTATTATAGAAAATAACACTTTTGGCCTTCAAAGAAGCTTGGCCAAATAGGCTATAAATCTCTTCGAATCTTTCTTATATAGCTATATCATCACAAAAGGATTATTAAAGTTACATAAAATGATTTTTTTCGGGAGCATTTGCATATATAATCAATTATGGGGTCGCCATTGAACTTATATCTACTTTGTACAAAAAAATTACATGTCTACTTACTTTAGGATCAACTTCAAACGTATCGGGTCTGAACTTAACGAAAAAAAATTAGTTTAAGAAAAATTAACATGGCATAACTAACTTATACGCTATATTTACTATAAATAAATAC